ATGCTTTATAAGAAATCCTGAATAAATTGAATGTCATATGATGTTCCTACTCAAAGGAGATCAGATGTTTCAAACCACTTTCTAAGCAAACAAAACAATGGGAACTTGACATTATTTTAGTAGTTGATGGTGTAACATGTTTTCTAGTTGATTAATAGCAAAACAGCACACATTGGTTCTTCCTATTTATTCCAAAAACATCTAAATGTACTAGAACTCAATTTATCCGTGCACATCAGACTATGTATGCATAACACTTACATAATCGTACCAATAGGCTAGTCTGAAACAAAGCTATGTGAGTAAAGACGTGCAGAGATGTCCCTTAACTTACCCAGTCAACTCCAACAGCAAGCCCTTCAGGCTGAATCCCTTGGAGGACTTCGCTCTTGCTACGAGAACAATTGACGGGACTTTAGACACTAAGCACAAGCAGAATGTACTGTAATTTAATAAGTGGAACAAAATGTTCGAGTCGTCTACCGGTGAGGTTAGCATATTGTCTTAGTATTGGGTAAAAAGAAGGACACTTGTAGTCTCCAATCACTCCCGTTAGCTGCCGGATTGACTTGACAGCGTGTAGTGAGTCTACCCTAGAGACTTTGACAGGTGGTTGAGCATTTTTCCAGTATATTACTTCATGGAATAACCTTTTGGTCATCTCAAAGTGAGCGTTGAAGTGCGCTCCTGAATTTGTATGTCTTGTATTTCAAAGAATGCGCTTTTTTCAAATAAGCGTTATATTACATTACATGGATGAACAACTATACAGTAGGCTATATAGTGTATGTTTAGTTATAGATGTGCCTGCCTATATGATGATCAACGAGTTTGAAAAACGTGAAATAAATATGACACAGATATATGCAGGCCTATTTCCCCAGAGGTTCGTGATTCACTTATGGAACTGTTTGTTCCCGCCATGTGCTGATAGCTCATTATTTACTCAGTGATTAATGATTGTAGGGCAGGCTATCCACCGTCCTAATTCCCGTCTACAATGTTGCAACCATTCCGACAGCACAATCAACAAAGAGGAGCTGGGATAATACGCCAACAGTTTACAGCATCATTTTAGACATATTATAAAACCAGGGTAAGTGAAATTTCAAAGATCTTTTTATTGACCAATATGCTCATAGTTTTGGACAGAAGTCTAAGGACATGTCTTTAGCCTATACTAGTGGTTTCTATAGGATCACTGAGAAATGTAGCCTACTGTAGTTGAAAATATCCACATTTAATGTAATAAAATCAATTAATTACACTGGTAATAACGTTAGATACACAGCACTTTAGTAATTGCATTTTAATTGCATAGCTATTTTAATTTCAGAAAGGAGAATAACTTTAACATTCATGAGTGTTTCCCTCTTTTTCCCCTTGCTCTGTGCCTTAGCAATGAAGAGCCGCTTTCTCCTTCCTCTCCTGTTTCTGGCATGTTGTTGCCATGGCACCTTCTCTTGCCCAGCCCTTTGCAAATGCTACATATCCCCAAGAAAAACGGAGGTGGTCTGTAATGAAGTCCCCCTCACCCAGTTCCCCTCCGACGGTCTCCCTAGCAACACCACTGCCCTCACCATCCAGTTCACCAACATCAGCTCCATCTCAGAACAGCACCTGAGCGCCACACCCCTTCTACAGGAGCTGTACCTGTACAACAACAACCTGAGCACCCTTCCCTCAGATCTCTTCAGGGGTGTCCCTCACCTGTTCTCGGTGGCACTCTCGGATAACACATTGGATCAGCTTCCCGCCAATGTCTTCAGCCACGCTCCGCTGCGTGACCTGGTGCTGAAGAACAACCTGATCAGCAGTGCGGATGCTGATTGGCTCCCTGACAACAGTAACCTCACCTGGCTGGACCTGTCAGGGAACCGTTTGACGGCCGTACCCACAGCCCTGTTCCAGAAACTACGCCACCTGAAGAACCTTGACCTCTCCCATAACCGCCTGGAGAAGTTCCCGCAAAATTCGCTACACCCTCTGACCAAACTGGAGAGGCTGACACTGGAGGGGAACAAACTCAGCACCCTGGACGCATCTACCTTCAGTAACAACCTCAACCTGACGCACCTGTTTCTTCTGGAGAACCGGCTTGGACAACTGCCCCCAACCCTGTTCCATGGCCTCCCGAACCTGGCGCACCTGAGTCTTGATGATAACCTGCTGAGCCACATCCCTCCTGGTCTGCTGGACCAGCTTCACTCCATTGATGAGCAGGGGTTGGACCTCACGGTGAACCCCTGGGTGTGCGATGGCAAGGTGGAGTACCTGTGGCGGTGGCTGCAGAAGAACCAGAAAAAAGTATTACTGGCCGATGACATCAGGTGTGCCAGCCCTGAGTCTCTGAAGGAACGGTCAGTGATGTCGCTAACTGACAGTGAGCTAGGACTCTGATCCATCAAACCTTTTTCACTCAGATGATGAATTATCACTGTAACCTATCTCAAATTGTGGTCTATTGAACACTCTTTCCTATCTCAGATTCATCTATGGTAATGTTGGTCTATTGAACACTCTTTCCTATCTCAGATTCATCTATGGTAATGTTGGTCTATTGAACACTCTTTCCTATCTCAGATTCATCTATGGTAATGTTGGTCTATTGAACACTCTTTCCTATCTCAGATTCATCTATGGTAATGTTGGTCTATTGAACACTCTTTCCTATCTCAGATTCATCTATGGTAATGTTGGTCTATTGAACACTCTTTCCTATCTCAGATTCATCTATGGTAATGTTGGACTATTGAACACTCTTTCCTATCTCAGATTCATCTATGGTAATGTTGGACTATTGCATGCTGTGTATATTCATCCTAATTATACACACATCCAGATAAATAAAAGTGACCTGAATATGAATTTTAAATGAATTATCTTGGTGTCCTATCCTTGCTTTCTAACACATTGCAGTCTGTCAGAAAGTGGTATAAATATCCGGTCAACTGGCCCCATGTCTTGACTGAATAATATACCTATTAAAATAATTATGTATTAAATAAAATTGTGGTAAAAGTAGTCAAATGTTAAAGGCTAAAACACGTGTTGATATTAATCTCTGAAAATAACTGAAGGAAATGCAAACAATGGGCCATCACAGTCTCTTTGTACACATCAAAGATTTACAAATATTGACCTGTAACAAATGACCAAGCTGTAATTCAAATGCTACTCTACATGGTATTGTATAGTTATTGTGTAGAGTGCCCATGTCATGTTTTCAACTACCCCAAAAATAGTTACAGCAAAAAAAGATTTGTATGATAAATGACTAAGAATGGAAATTCCCAAGTTGCCCAGTTTCTATTTCTTTGTTTACCTTTCGCAATAAATCCACAAAAACAGGATGTGGACTTTTTATCTAAACCCACACATTATTTACTCTTACTCTTACACACACACACACACACACACACACACACACACACACACACACACACACACACACACACACTCACACACACACACACACTCACACACACACACACACACACGTCATATAAGGAGCATTGAAATAGTTGTAAGAGCAGATGAAACAAGAAAGCCAATGAAGGCAACAAAACACGAATGACAGCAAGACTTCAGGTAAGTTGAACTAAAGGACTTTGATTTAATTACTGTGTCTTAATCCTGTTGATAAACAATACTTTTATCTGTATCTGAAAAAAACACAACAACTCAAGTTATTTGTTATGTATTATTTATGACTCTATTGTGATTATATTGAACATTGAAAGATAACGATCATCCATTAAAAAAACTGCATGTATAATGGCCTGGATGTTACAGAGCATGAATTCCTTATTAATGATTTATGAGTCACCTATGTATTTTGCATTAACATACACTTATGCAAATATTGAATCTTGTATGTTTTGAGGCCCAACTATCTCTTTGTTTTCCAGTCTTAGAAAGATGAGCACCTGGTTCTTCCTCTCGCTGTGTGTGCTGACCTGTTGTTGTGGCCGCAGCAATGGCGCCCTCTCTTGCCCAGACATGTGCACCTGCCACTTCTCTACCAGCGACGCCAAGGTGGTCTGCAGCGACGCCTCCCTCTCCCAGTTCCCCTCCAACAGTCTCCCAGGCAAAACCACCTCCCTGTCCATCCAATCCACCAACCTCAGCACTATTACTGCCAACCACTTACAGGCCACGCCCCTTCTGAAAGAGCTCCAACTGTATTACACCAACCTGAGCACCCTTCCCTCAGATCTCCTCAGGGCCGTTCCTCACTTGCACACGTTGGATCTCACAGGGAACCACCTGCACTTCCTGCCACCATATGTCTTCAGCCACGCTCCACTGCGTAACCTGGTGCTGAAGAACAACCTGATCAGTGGTGTGGATGCTGATTGGCTCCCTGACAACAGTAACCTCACCTGGCTGGACCTGTCAGGGAACCGTTTGACGGCCGTACCCACAGCCCTGTTCCAGAAACTACGCCACCTGAAGAACCTTGACCTCTCCCATAACCGCCTGGAGAAGCTCCTGGCAGGGGCACTGTATCCTCTGAGCAGACTAGAGAGGCTCAACCTGGAGGGGAACCAACTCAGCACCCTGGACCCTTCTGCCTTCAGGAACACCCCAAACCTGACGCACCTCTTCCTCCAGGAGAACCAACTGGAGAGGCTTCCCCCGACTCTCCTCCAGGGGCTCCATCACCTTGATTTCCTGTTTCTCAACCTCAACCGGCTTGGTCACATCTCCACCACCCTGCTGGAGCAGCTCTCCTCCACACGGACGAGCAACCATCTTCGGGTGGCCTTCAGCCAGAACCCCTGGGTGTGCGATAAGAAGGTGGAGGACTTGTGGAGGTGGCTGCAGAAGAACCAGAAGAAAGCTTTCCTGGCCGATGACATCAGGTGTGCCAGCCCTGAGTCTCTGAAGGAACGATCAGTGATGTCGCTAACTGAGAGTGAGCTAGGACTTTTCACTTAAACAATAAGAAGGTGGGGCGCTGTGGAGGTGTCTCAGAATGACCCAGGGGAGAGTGTTCTTTCATTCTTCGTCAAATGTGCCAGCCCTGGTTGTTAAGGACCAGGTGGTTGTGTCTCTGACTGAGAAAGAGCTAGAACTCAAAACGGATAAATAAAACAGGCCCACTCTTCAGGTAACAACTGCAAATGATTCTGTGTTTTGATTGGCTAAAAGGTCTCTCTCTGTATATATATATATATATATATATATATATATATATATATATATATATATATATACACACTGATTGTTTCTTCATATAGTATATTTGAGACAAACAGCTCTTGCATTTCAATTAAGGCTTCTGTATATTTTTGGAGACCCTTAGGATGGTCTTATAAGATCCACTAGGTGGCATCACATTCAATGTTTTTGCAAGACAAACTCCTTAGTAGACTTTTGAGTGTTACTGAACAGTTGTTGTAATTTATAAGACAGGTTGACAACAACTATGCATGAATAGAAAATGGATGTCTTTGTGATAGCTAATTTTCTACAGGTCAATCAGCCTGGTGGATCTAGGCTCTGGTGGTGTTAGTAATAATATCGCCTCATTATTTATTTTCATAACTTAATGGTTTGCCCTCTCTGCAGTCTCTCACTTTGATATGCACTTCACTCTTCCTCTCCTGTTTTTTAATGATGTTGGAATCAATGGGGTGTGTGTGTGTGTGTGTGTGTGAGAGAGAGAGAGAGAGAGAGAGAGAGAGTGTGTGTGTGTGTTTGTATCAGTGAGTTTGTCCTCTGCTCTGCAGGCGTGGCACAGGCCTCTCTGTCCTCAGGAGGCCTTGATCACATTAAGTGGGAGCCCCAGTAATTTATGACTCTTGTAAAGCAGCACCCGCGTCTCCAGAGGTGGTTACTTCTGAAAATTAAACCCTGATCAAATGCTTGCTGAAGAGCGGAAGAAAACGTGGCTTCCTGAAATGGCAGCGGACGTCGGAACGTTTTTCCCCGGCATCCTACAATAGAGTTGGATAGAGGGCACCAAAGCCCGTTTTAACATGGACAGCGCCATTGAGGGCTTTAACCATTTTGAAGTAGCCAAGTGGGTGGGACTTGCTATGGGTTAAGGAAGGATCTAATAATTACATCCAAATCAGCAAGAGGGGTCAGCCAATGAATTATACTCCTGAGCAAACATTCCATAATTAAATCACCAACTTTGACTTCCGACTATACACACTCCAGCACAGTAGGTGGTGGTACGCACCAACAGTGCCTTCGGAAAGTATTCAGACCCCCTGACTTTTTCCACATTGTGTTACGTTAAAGCCTTATTCTACAATGGATTTAATAAATAAAAATCCTCATCAATCTACACACAATACCCCATAATGACAAAGCGAAAACAGGTTTTTAGAACGTTTGGGAAATGTATTAAAAACAAACAACAGAAATGCCTTATTTACATAAGTATTCAGACCCTTTGCTATGAGACTCGAAATTGAGCTCAGGTGCATCCTGTTTCCATTGATCATCCTTGAGATGTTTCTACAACTTGATTGGAGGCCATCTGTGGTAAATTCAATTGATTGGGCATGATTTGTAAAGGCACACACCTGTCTATATAAGGTCCCACAGTTGACAATACATGTCAGAGCAAAAACCAAGGAATTGTGTTGAGGCACAGATCTGGGGAAGGCTACCAAAAAATGTCTGCAGCATTGAAGGTCCCCAAGAACACAGTGGCCTCCATCATTCTTAAATGGAAGAAGTTTGGAACCATCAAGACTCTTCCTAGAGCTGGCCGCCCGGCCAAACTGAGCAATCGGGGGAGAAGGGCCTTGGTCAGGGAGGTGACGAAGAAACCAGATGGTCACTGACAGAGCTCCAGATTTCCTCTGTGGAGATGGGAGAACCTTCCAGAAGGACAACCATCTCTGCAGCACTCCATCAATCAGGCACAACAGCCCGCTTGGAGTTTGCCAAAAGGCACCTAAAGGACTCTCAGACCATGAGAAACAATATTCTCAGGTCTGATGAAACCAAGATTGAACTCTTTGGCCTTAATGCCAAGCGTCAAGTCTGGAGGAAACCTGGCACCATCCCTACAGTGAAGCATGGTGGTGGCAGCATCATGCTGTGGGGATGTTTTTCAGCAGCAGGGACTGGGAGACTAGTCAGGATCGAGGGAAAGATGAACAGAGCAAAGTACAGAGAGATCTGTGATGAAAACATTTTACATTACATTTTAGTCATTTAGCAGACGCTCTTATCCAGAGCGACTTACAGGAGCAATTAGGGTTAAGTGCCTTGCTCAAGGACACATCAACAGATTTTTCACCTAGTCGGCTCGGGGATTAGAACCAGCAACCTTTCAGTTACTGGCACAACACTATTAACCACTAAGCTACCTGGCGCCCTAAAACCTGCTCCAGAGCGCTCAGGACCTCAGACTTGGGCGAAGGTTCACCTTCCAACAGGACAACGACCCTAAGCACACAGCCAAGACAACGCAGGAGTGGCTTCGGGACAAGTCTCGGAATGTCCTTGAGTGGCCCAGCCAGAGCCCGGACTTGAACCCGATCTAACATCTCTGGAGAGACCTGAAAATAGCTGTGCAGCGACACTCCCCATCCAACCTGACAGAGCTTGAGAGGATCTGCAGAGAAGAATGGGAGAAACTCCCCAAACACAGATGTGCCAAGCTTGTAGTGTCATACCCAAGAAGACTCAAGGCTGTAATCGCTGCCAAAGGCACTTCAACAAAGTACTGAGTAAAGGGACTGAATACTTATGTAAATTTGATATTTCCGTTTTTGTATTTTTTATAAATTTGCAAAAATTGATAAAAACCAGTTTTTGCTTTGTCATTATGGGGTATTGTGTGTAGATTGATGGGGGGAAAAAACAATTTAGTCAATTTTAGAATAAGGCTGTAACCTAACAAAATGTGGAAAAAGTAAAGGGGTCTGAATACTTTCCGAATGCACTGTACGTACTGCCAAGACAATCATAGTAGAAGAAGAAGAAATTGAAATAGAAATAGCCCTCAATGGCTCCACCCATGCTGTCACAGACAAAGATTGCAAAGATAAGAGACAAGATCTCTAGTACATCTTTATGCGTCCTCCTCATCCTCGCTCGTTCTGCCGACCAACAGGTGACCTTTCTCTCTGATCAGGATGGACGAGACAGAGTGTGCTCTGGCATCGCGCCACACTGTAATGACTGACTGACAGTGATTTAAAAAAAGATGGTTATTTGCAGGGCTTTTCATGCACTTGGAAATCATTTTGGCCATCTTGAATTTGCGCCAAGCAAACATGGTTCATTACTGGATGAAGAGTTAAAATGTAATGAATCTATCTTCCAAATGAGGGTGATGTGACATGATTATGACTAGTAACTGCTCAATAACTTTGCCTTATAAAATAGATACTAATAATCACTTAATATTCTAATTTGAAAAACTGAAACACATTTTTTTTGAACGAAAAGTATTGCCAACCTCAATATTCCCGTCAATATCATTTGTATAGAGAATGGCATCTCAATAAAATGCTGTGAATGATACAGTGCTTTATAATAATAGACTGAGAACAAGTTGTTGCTAAAAATGCTTAATGGAATTGTTGTGATTTACAGTGTTTGTTTGAATAGAAAATGGGACCCAAGACAATGGAATGCTATAGAATAAGATTTACAATGGTGTTCATCCCAAATGGCACCCTATTCCCTATATAGTGCACTACCTTTCACCAGAGCCCTATGGGCACTATAAAGGGAATAGGGTTCCATTTGGGACGTATGCAATGTTTGATTCATAGCACCTGATAGAGAGGTTGTCATCTTCCATCTCTGAACTACAGTGCCTTATATAAACATAAATCCTCTCTCCATTAAGGTTTTGTCTGATTCTTGGCACCCATGTGCCATTGCGAAGTTATCATGGCACACAACTATGGACCTCACACCGCTCTCGTAACAGCAGGGTTAAGGTAAATTCCATTTCAATTCAATTCAGCCAATTCAGAAAGTAAACTGAAATTCCAATAATAATTCAACAAATTCGTAATGCTTTTTTTACATAGAAATGTGGGAATAGGAATTTCAATTTAATTCCTGAACTGGCTAAATTGAAATGGAATAGATCCCAATCCTGTAAGACACTGCACAAAATACTCTTGTTCAATATGATCTAAAGGGACAAAATGATCCTAGATCAGCACTCATACACTAAGACTCTTTCTGTACATGGGTGGTGGCGACCCACATTATTAGCAAAAAAAAAAAAATAATACAAATAATTTTTGTTTTGTTTTTTGGGGCTTGCCTGTTTTGCATGTTATTTTGGCATTAATACGTGTGTCACGATCGTTGGAGGAAGTGGACCAATGCGCAGCGTGATGAGTGAACATACTTTTAATTGATTCACCACACGAAGCAAAACAACAAAACGATACGTGAAGTCCTAGGTAACAGACACAAACCATACACGGAACAAGATCCCACAAAACACTGTGGAAAACAGGCTGCCTAAGTATGGTTCCCAATCAGAGACAACAAGCAACAGCTGACACTCGTTGCCTCTGATTGAGAACCACCCCGGCCAACACAGAAACACATGAGCTAAATAAAGAACCTAGAACACAAATACATAGAAACTACACACCCTGGCTCAACATAACAGAGTCCCAGAGCCAGGGCGTGACAGTACCCCCCCCCCCCCCCCCCCAAAGGCGCGGACTGCGACCTCGCCAAACATCAACCGAACAGGGGAGGGCCGGGTGGGCATTCCTCCTCGGAGGCGATTCCGGCTCCGGGCTTGACCACCACCCTCCAACAATTCCCCAGTAGCGCCCCTGGTCCGGTCTGGCCCCGCTGGCTGGAGCTGGACTGGACATCGGTGGAGCGGATTGCTTAGGCTCTGATGTGGAGCAGCTGACCGGTACCTGACCAGGCACCGGTGACCCAGGCACGGGCTGTGCCGGACTGACGACGCGCACCACAGGCTT